AAGAAAAAGATAAGAGACGAAAAAGATAATGTGCATACCATTTTTTTTTACCGCAATCGAACAATAGTGACTATAATAAAAGTGAATATAAAAGTACAGTGATTGTATTGTACTTGTTAAAAGTTTAATGACCGAAAAGAAAGCATCCTAAAAGTTCAGTAGTCATTTATGTAGTCTACCCTTTTTATTTTGGGTTAAAAAATACAATGGGCTGGGCTGGGCTGGGTATTGCATTATAGTGAAAGTACTTTGACAAACAACAGGTCCAATCCAGCAAATCCTGTACCAAAATGGGGGTATATTTGTCATAACCCAGTCTGATTACTAAACCCTGTTCGTTCTAGTAGGGTTTTGAGCAGCGGCCTTGTTCGTTTGCCGGAATTTCGTTTTCTTTTTCCCATCACTTTCTCGCTTTTTCTCAGCAACCAAACGGGGGTGAGGAGCTAGAATGCAGTTGTTCATTGGTGGGAGTATCCGTTTGGGTCAACGAAAAGGTTTCTCCAGATGGAACAATGCTCATTTCAAATCCTCAGCAATAGCTTATCTGCCTTCTCAAAGTAGCATCAATGTAGTCCAAGTAACCAACAATTCAATCAAATCTTCCAAGAATAATCTCCTGCAGTTTCTAGGAGTATGAGTTCTTTTTTCGTTGCTTTAATTTTTCTGGGTTTTGTTGCTTAATTAATTTTCTTGCTTCAAAATGTCGTTTTTCCTACTTTTTTTATAGTACAATATGCATTTTAGAATGTTAATAGGTTGAAATTTTCCAATTCACGTTATTTCTCGGTTTTTATAAGTCTAATTTTGAGGTAAGCTTGTCTTTTAAAGCTTGGAATTTGTTTTAGCAGACAACATTTGGATCCCAAGCAAATGGCGTTTGTTCGGTTCCAGTTTTGTCTCCTTTGGCTGCAATTATGACTTCATCTTCAAGCAGATTTATGACAACAGCTGCTTTGCCTATTATGGATTCTCCCGAGCCTGTTGCCGATGTGCCGACTCGAATTAAATTTAAGAGACTTGATAAAACTGCCAAGCACATAATGCAGGAAGGCTTCTTGTTCCTTTTGTAATGTTGTTTTTTTTCCCGGGTTTTATTTGAATCTTAGACCTGCTGGTTGCTGTGATGATGTATATACGAGTTGACTGAGTTAATTCTTTCCAGTTTTGAATTGTGTGAATTCCGTGTTTGCAGATCGTGGACAAGGAAGCAGTGGAGGAAGTGAAGGGGCAAAGAGAGATACCTGAGATAAAACCTGGCTACATTGTGCAACTCAAAGTGGTATGACACGTTACGACATTTGAGGTGTTATTAATACACATGATTGTGAACATATTTTTGAGCGGCTTAAGGTAACGGGTGTGCTGTTGGTGAGAGCAGGAAGTACCTGAAAACAAGCGGCGCCTTTCAACAATAAAAGGCATTGTTATCGCAAGACGTAATGCCGGCTTGAATACTACATTCCGGATACGGAGAATGGTAGCCGGAGTTGGGGTTGAATCTCTCTTCCCATTGTAAGTACGCTTATACTCTTCCCTCAAAAAGTATGTTGTTTAAGATTCAATTTATCGACATGGAAAGAAAGCATGCTACTGTTTTACCAGATTACCAAGAAGTTGTTTCACTGGTGTTATAAGGTTCAATAAAGAACTATGGTTATGTACTGAACATAAATTATTACTAGAATATGTCTCGTGCGGATTAGTTTTGCTCCGAAACAAAGGTTTCTCCAAGACTTAACATTTCCTTGGACTAATAGTTTAGTATATATGTTATTACAGCTACGATAGAAGAATGTATAGCTCACTGTAAAAGTGCCAGCTTCGTTGTGTTTCCAAGAGCGTCTCCTCTGTTAAAGGTGTATTGTGAAGCGATAAGAATGAAGTTTTCTTGTTGTTTTTGCTGACTTCCAATTTGCTCAAGTTGCATTCTCATAGTTGTTTTAAGCACGCTTGTCTCTGATCAAACATTCGCAATAGCCTTTTCGGAAAAGCCAGTTCTGGTATCGGGATTTTTTGTTGATCTAAACTAGAAACCAGCACCCCTTATCAATATTTTAACTTCATCCTTACATCCTCCGATTCAGAGATATGGGTTCGGTTATGAGACTCTTTTCTGGTTTATTCCCAATAAAATGCCCTCTATCCCTTTAATCTCGTTGATCCCCGAGATTTCTAGGTGATTTATGTGATTTATCATAAGATCCTAAATCCTAATACATTTCACTTTCTTTCCATTTGAAATGATTCACATGTGATCTTCTATGGAAAGAAGTCTGAAAGCATTTTCTAGTTCTTCTAATCTATGTCATATAGACTCAAGTGTGAGTATCGACTAACGGTATGTACCGGACATAAATTCGTTGGATATAGTTTCTCCAAGAAAAATCAAAGCATCCGAACAACATAACTTGTGATTATCTATTTGATTTGCTTATACTCATAGCATAAACAAGATCGGACGACGATGGATGACAGGTATTCCCCAAATATAAAGGAGATAAAGGTGCTGGACAAGAAGAAAGTGAGAAGGGCTAAGCTTTACTATCTCAGGAAAAAGATGAATGCTCTTAGATGATCTTTAAATAAGAAATCGAATGCGGTTTCGTTGTGACAAAGACGGTGTTTCGAGTTGTTTTTCGGATGAGAATTTCCTCTCTTGATTTCTATTGTGAGAGTGTTGTTTCACTTGATAAAAAGCTTATTCTATGGAGGGCATGCATGAATGCATCTTGATATCATGTGAATCTGTTTTGAAGAAGACATTACATGTTATGCCCATGTGCCTTTTGGGCATGCATCCATCCCCATATAACCTTATGATGGATGAATCATTTCCAGCATATGTTACAAATACTTCTTTGTTGTTGGTTGGTTGGTTGATTAGGTGGAAGCTTAGCCATTTATGATGATTGCAACCCCATTAGCCTTAGACAACTATTCCAACCATTTTTCTGTTTGTTTTTCCCACTAGCTTTTGTTCCCTATTTGTGGACTATTGCCACTCCCGAAAACGTATGTTCAGATTCATTCTAGTTTAGGTCAAGAGATTCGGATATATTCTCATTATCAACAGGGTAAGGTACGGTTTAGTACTTAAACTTTTAATTTTTTTCAAAATTATATCTATAATTTAGTTTTTATTTCATTTTAATACCACGTTAAAAACATAATGTTAAGTTTTGAAAAAAGAATTGAAAGTTCATGTGTTAAGATGAACCAAAATTGATAGTTTATGTATTAAATGTATTAAGTATTTAGCAGCGGGATATTACAATGAAATAAAAATTAAATGTTAGGTATAATTTTGAAAAAGTTGAAAAATTAGATACTAAAATAGCTTAAAATTAATAGTTAGGTATTAAATGTGTAGTTTTTTTTTCAATATGTTCGTTCGTGTATTACAATTAAGATTTATTGTGATTATAAATTAAAAAATATGTATTATTTCTTAGCACATCATATATCGAATATACTTATTTCATTCCCAAGTAATTACTTGAACCATTGGCAACTCTTATAGCAAGTTCAATTTGACAATTATAATCTTTTAAGGATTTAGTGCTATTTGTTATGATAATTTAATACTAGGGTAAACTACTAATTTAGTCACTCAACTATTATTTTTTTTTAAAATTATGCATAACTTTATAGTTTTGGTTCTATTTTGATCACGTGTTGTTAAAAATTATTGATAATTTTGATATGTTACATAAAATAATGTTACGGGAGCGTTGAAAAATAATAAAATAATATCTCGTTAGTATCATTATTATTTTTTAGTGTGTGATCAAAATGTAATGTTAGGTATATTTTTGAAAAAAAATAATTAAATGATCAAAATCGAATAATATGTAACTAAATAAATAATTTACCCTTAATACTATTAGCATGGTGGACAAAATAACGTTTGTGTTATCATATTTTTAAAAAATTTAAATTCTTATGTAGTTTAAATGTTTTATTTTTTATCCAATTTTATGTATATAATTTTGTATCTTTCAAATTTACAATATTTTAAAAATCTATACTTTCAATATAAAATCTTGCAAATGTAACCATTGATATTACTTTAAAAAAATAAGTCATAATATAATTATGAAATGAATATATATATGTTCATAGGAATATATCGTCTATTATGGTATTAGATTAATTTCAATAAATATATATAGATGTATATTAAAACATTAAAATACATTTATTTTTATATAATTTTAATATCTAATTTTAAACTAAATATTATTAAGTTCAAGGACTGGCCCCGCCAGGAGGTGGCAAAATCTCTTTAAAAGTTGACTTTTGACTTACAAATATAAATTTGAAATATATCCAGAGGATTTTTTTTGTTCGATATTTTTATATTTCGCTCCGTTAAATTCTGTTTTTAGTCCATGTACTATATACAATTTTAAATTTAATCCCTATACTCAAATTTAGTCGATTTAAATCTCTATATGTTTTAGGTTTTAAAATTTCAGTTTTAATTTAAAGTATAATATGACTAAATTAAAGAGGCTTAAAATAATTAGCATAGAGTCGTAATACAATCTACAACATACATATGCTATAAAATTTTAAATTTATTAACATAATTTTATGTTCAAAATTGAAATTTTAAAACTTGAAAAGCATAAAATTAAAAAAAAAAGAAGCATATTTAGGGGCTAGTAGGGGACATGGCCCCCTAAATTGGTCATTTTTCAATTTTAATCGCTTTATATTCTAATGTTTATGGTCTAGAGATGGGAAAATTATATTTTACGTGTTAATCTCTATTTGTTGGAGTTAATTAGCGACAGATTGTTTCCTAATGGCCTCATCTTCTCCTTGACGGAACAGCTTCCTTTCCTTTCCAATCTCTATCTCATCACCTTTTCTTTCGAACCACGACTTTGGTTTTTCCTTCTTCTCATTATCCAATAAACAGAGATAGAAATCGAAAATTTCTTTTTAAAAAAATTAAAAAAAAACTTTGAATTTTCTTAATTCTGTTGCCACTGCGTGTGTTTTAAAAAACTCTAGAATGCCGCCAAAGACAACGCCCGACCAAGAACAAGATGATTCGGATGCTGAATTCGTCGAGGTTGATCCCACAGGTCGATACGGCCGGGTTGGTTTTCTCTCACTTTGAACTATATTTGATGTTGTTTGGCATTTGGGTTAGCTTTAATTGATGTTACCTTTAATGGGTTGCTTTTTTTCTTTGTCTTCTGAATTGATTTCTTGCAGTACAAGAAGGTCTTAGGAAGAGGAGCTTTCAAGAAAGTGTATCCTTTGATTTCCCTGTTTTTTCTTTCATAGTTTATAGGTTTAGGGTTTTTGACTGCATTTTGAGGCTTAATTTCGAGTTTAAGCTACTGTTGAATCCTTGTTTTCCAGGATTTAATGAACTTGAAAATATATGGATGTTGCATAGGATAGGAATGCATTTTGAGTCTTAATTTGTGAGTTTAAGCTTTTGTTGAAACCTTGATTAAGTTGTGGGAACTTAGGTACAAGTCATTTGATGAACTTGAAGGTATAGAAGTAGCATGGAATCAGGTTAAGGTCTCAGATCTATTGCGGCATTCGGAAGATTTCGAACATCTTTATTCGGAAGTTCATTTGCTTAAAACGTTGAAGCATAAGAACATAATGAAATTTTACAATTCCTGGGTCGATACCAAAAATGAACATATCAACTTCATCACCGAGATTTTCACTTCAGGAACATTGCGGCAGTAAGTCTTTCTCGATTTTTTCGGACAGCGTGTTTTCTTGTGTTTGGAGCTCCCCATATTGTTTCAGTTTTATGGAAAAGTTTGTGTTTGATTGTGTAGGTATCGAAAGAAGCATAAGCATGTCGATTTGAGGGCATTGAAGAAATGGTCTAGGCAGATCTTGGAGGGTCTTGTCTATCTTCACAGTCACGATCCCCCAGTGATTCACAGGGATCTGAAATGTGATAACATCTTTGTCAATGGTAACCAAGGTGAGGTGAAGATCGGAGATCTAGGGTTGGCTGCTATTCTTTACAAGGCCCATTCGGCACATAGCGTTATCGGTGGGGATCATAATGTCCTTCATTACTGTTAATACTACAAGATTCAGAACTATTGCTGATATATATTGCAAATGATAAAGCAAGTGTTGGTGTCATGTAGGTACACCCGAGTTTATGGCACCGGAACTCTACGAGGAGGAATACAATGAGCTTGTAGATATTTATGCTTTCGGAATGTGTTTGCTTGAGTTAGTAACTTTGGAGTACCCATATGTTGAATGTGCTAATGCAGCTCAAATATTCAAGAAAGTGACATCGGTACGGCATATTACCCACCATCAGTGTATAGAATATCAAATATAAACCCTTTATCCATCTTGCTTCGTGCTTTGTTCCTTCCTTGGGCAGGGAATAAAGCCAGCATCGTTGGCGAAAGTGACGGATCCTAGAATGAAGTTATTTATTGAAAAATGTCTTGCTAATGCCTCGGATCGTTTGTCTGCAAAGGAGCTTTTAAGGGATCCATTTCTCCAACCTGACGAGGAAAATGACAATGTAGGTCGTTCTTTACAAGCTAATGTCCAATCTTCAGGTAGAATTCTAGAGCATTTTTTGGGAGCTTGAAGGCTTTGAGTATTTTTTAGCCTCAATTTTACATGATAAATGCAGATAGTACTTCTGATCAGACTAATTTAAGGGTAAATACCAAGGATCTTCAATCTGAGACAGGCGTGGATGTCAAAGTACAAGGTCAGAGGAATGACGTTAACACGATATTTCTGAAACTACGGATATCGGATTCTACAGGTAAGGAAATATTTCATTATTTTGCATTCGCATTCGTTTTTCTCATTGAAAACTGAGATGCTTCTGACTGGTACTAGGTCATATCCGCAACATCCACTTCCCCTTTGATATTGAAGCAGATACAGTGACAGCCGTTGCTCGAGAAATGGTTGAAGAATTGGACTTGACAGATCAAGATGTTCCAACAATTTCCGAAATGATTGAATCGGAAATCCGGTCTCATATTCCTGATTGGGTTCCAAAAGAAATTCCTATTGATAATACTTTGGGAGAAGTTGCAATTTCTGGGAACTCTCTCTCTGAAAATAAGGGTGATGGATCTCCATTGGCTTATGAGCTGACCTCATCTCCAGGCTATCTCTCATCAGAGAGATTACCTTCTGGTCGAAGATTCTGGTCCGAGCCACTCAAGGCAACTGGTGGAAACTCTTCGACCAGTTTTGGTGGTTCAAATGTTGCTTTTCGAGAGGATTTTGTAAGGTCTGCTAATAGCATGATTGAACTGGATGAACAATCTCATGAAAGCTGTGAAATTGGAGGTAAAATAAACAGTAGTACTTCATCTGGACGACTTGACAACGAGTTCACACATCACAATGGCGGAGACGATGATGGTCATGGGAAAGACGATGATGCTAATAGAAAACATTTTTCGAAAGAGAACTGCAAGCCATTAAAGGATGCTGAATCAGGAGTGAAGGCAATAACAGAGAGGCTCGATTCTCTGTTGTTGAATCAGCAAATGGAGGTTGATGAACTAAAGAAGAAGCACCGATTAGCCATAGCAGACTTTCTGAAAGAACTATCTCAGGAAACCTGTGAAAAGGTTTTGGCTACATGTAAGATGAAGATTCCAGATTATACTATTCAAAACGACACAAACAGCTAAATGTGCATCCGACATACCAGACTTGAGTCTCTTTGATATTGCAGTTTGATAATGGCGGGGAATCTTAGAAGGAATGATGGTACTTACAGACACTCCATTACTGCTGAAGAGAGCTGCATTTTGTTGGTTAAGTCGGACAGTACGTGTCTGTAGCTGACAAATCTGCGGGAATGCCTCGTATCCAGAGGTGAGACGAGATCAACAATGCTCTGTAACTATAACGGATGCACATCGCATGGTGAGTCAAAAGGAAAGGGCGATTAAGCCGAAACCTCGGTCTCGACAAATTCCGGGGTGCTATAGAGGTGAGGCATTGTTATGTGTATGTATGTAATATAGTTTCGATGTCTGCACATCGTGGATGCACAAGAAGCTTCGTTTCTTATACTGAATGTGGTTTAATTTGATACTTCTTTCAAAAACTTCCACGGGAGCGTATACTAGTACGTATGGTTTTACTAAACAAATTGTAATGCAAAATTTTCTTTTCGAGGAGTTGGCCCTCTTTCTTTTAGATGAGAACAAATTCAAACACCCTAGCCTGATCCACAAATTATGTTTCTCAACCATCATCGATGAATTCTCGCCGGAATTTTGTACACAAATATCATAAACACCTGACTCATACATGCTGTAAGGCTCATGAAAAGTTCATACAACGATCAAGTGGACGTAGTTGGTTTAGGACTTCTGATAAGCACGTGGCGGGCGTTCGTATTTGAAGGCATTTTTCCGGATGTAAATGAGTCGGGTCATACTTGAGTATTGTTAAGCTTGGTTCGAAAAGTTTAGCTTGACTCGAAAGCTCGTGAGTCTAAAATTATCAATCTCGATTCGAAATCGAAATTAAAAATTGAATCTCGACACGATTTGAAACCTCGATTCGAAATCAAAAATTTAAGCAAGATTTGAGTTCCAAAAAAATCTAGACTCTAAATATTTTCATACTTAGCTCAATTGAAGTTCAAACTCGAACTCCATTCAAGCTCGAACTTGAACTTTAAGTACATGAAATATTTATATTGTATTTTTATAAGAAAAAAACTATATAAATAGTAATATTGTAAATAATTTAATTTTAAAAACTAAAAAAAATAAAACTTACTATATTATTTTTTTCAAGTTATTTGCAAATTATTTTAGTCAGGTATCAAGTGCAAAACTTGAGTTAATTTCGTGTTTATTCAATTCGAGTGTTGATCGAATTTTAACTGAGTTAAACTTAAATAACTTGAGATCTGTCGCCTCAACGTTTCTGATGACAATTTGTTTATGGTTATAGATATTGATAAATACAAGCAAGAGAAGGTCTTTGCCTATAGGAGTTTCAGGGCCATGAATCTCATTGTAACCAACAAGAGTTTTCTTCTGTTTTTGCTTGTTTGGTTGTGAAGATGAAGATCAGGTCTCATTATGATATTTAAGGGGCGTTTGATTCACAAAATGTAAGATTACTTTTAGGAATAAGATTAGTTGAATATAACAATAATGTTATATTACCTTGTTTGATTTGTTTGTATGAATGTAAGATTATAGCGTTTGGTTAAAGAATAAATATAATATTATTTAGATGTCTATTTTACCAAATTATCTTCATATGTTTTTTTCAACGAGTTAAACTTTAATATTAAATTATAAATATCTGAATAAAAATTCATATAAATATTTTAATCGTTACATTATCTAACTTTTGGGGGAAAATACATTTAACATATAATTAATATAATTAGTATATCAAATTTATATTTTTAAATAATTTTTCATAAGTATCATATTTATTTATATAAAATATTATATAATATGAAAAAATAATATTGTTGTCTCAAGTGGACAAATATATTTCTTTCAATGTATAAGATCTAATTTTTAATAACTCAAAATTAAATATTATTTTAAATAATTATTTTTTATAATAATATCATTTTTCACATAATAAAATTATAAATAATTAATATATTAAATGTTGAAAAATATAAAATAAGTTTAACTACTCAACATTATTACACCATATTTTATTAAATCAAACTCTTTGTATATTATTATTATGTTTATAATTTTGAGTAAAACACGAAGAATAATTATTAAAAAGGATATGTATGAAAATAATTCATTACTAAGAGCCTAATAATTTGGAGGTAATGAAATTTCACTATTTTACCATTTTAATCTAAAACCACTATTAGTAATAAATTATTACCTGATAATAATTTTTTATAAATCGAATATGAAATGTAATTCCAAAAAAAGATTATTCTCCTTATTGATGATCTTTCGAGCCAATCACTCTCTTCAGGATTTGTGTGCAATTTATGGATTAGCTCATATATCTACCCTGATCCTTGCTGGTGGACACCTTTACATGTTTAAATAGATCACTTTCTTTTACAAATTTATAAGGTTATAAATGAATCTGTTGAAAACATTTTGATGTTTCGATATAACAAATCAAGTGTTAATAAATTTTAAGGTTTCTATTGATTCTTATATTATGTATTCGATTAATTCGAATATCATAAATTATTACTCCAAGATTTCAAATGTCTATTTCAATCCTTATTCAAGTGTAAAATTAAGTTTCAATCTTACAATATTTTGGAAATAATTTTTACAAAGTATTTCGAGCCATATTCGAGCCAAAGATAAACTTTATTTACTATGGTATCGATACCCCCTATAGGGTACCAATACCCCTATGAACATTTTGGTTCCGAGAAATAACAGAATGCTCGAATGGTACCGATACCCCCCATAGGTATCAATACCCCCATGCAATGGTATCGATACCCCCTCAGGAGGTACCGATATGAAGGGGTACCGATACCCCCCGCTCCCAGCAGACAAATTTAAGTGGTTTTTCTCACTACAACGGCTCTAACTTCATCCAAATGGTTCCCAACGGTTGGAATCATCCCAAGGTGTATTTAAACAAGTCCTGAAGCCATTGATCAATAAGAAATCATTGAGACACAAGAGAGAAAGCGTCAAACACTAAGTTTGTGAAAATCAAGCCATTTTTCCTTCAATGTTCATTTTGCTTTCAATAACACACATTGTGCTCATTTGTAATCATCTTTGAGTGTTCTTTTCTTGTTCTAGAATTGTGCAAACATCTTACCTTGTGAGGTTTTTCATTAAGTTTGTGAATTTGTAATATTCTCTTTGAAAAAGAGTGTACTCAAGAATTGGGGTATATTCTTGAGGGAGTTGTAAGGTTATCTCTTTGGCCTCAAAAGAAAGAACAAATTAGTGAATTTGTTGGAAAATCCTTATTGTGGATAGCTAAGGTAGTGGACGTAGACTTTGGTTGAGAAAGTCGAACCACTGTAAAATCGTTGTGCAATTACTTTCAATGTTCTGCAAAAGCTTCCACCAAATTTTTAATTGCCAATTCACCCCCCTCTTGGCCGATTCCGTCGATCGATTAACTCAACAATTGGTTTCAGAGCCTCACTCGTTTGAAGGTTTAATTGCCTCTTGATTCTATTCGGGAAGAGTTACATCGATAATTAAGTCATCATGGCCTCTACTTCAAACTCTGACTTCGGTCTTGATTCATTGCCCGTCAACAAGCCTCCTTTCTTCAATGGAGCTAATTATGCTTATTGGAAGAATAGGATGATGTATTTCATTCAAGCAAGTGACATGGGAGTATGGAATATTATAGAAGAATGATACATCAAACCCTCCACTCACCCAAGATTGTGGAGTGAAGGAGAGACAAGAATGTTCCAGCTCAATTCCAAAGCTATCCATATTATCTTTTGTGCTCTTGGACCGGATGAATACGGGAGAGTTTCATCTTGCACAACCGCCAAGGAGATATGGGACAAACTACAAGTCACTCATGAAGGCACAAACGAGGTAAAAAATCTAAAATTAGTCTTCTAACTCATAGCTATGAAAATTTCAGGATGAAACCGGATGAAGATGTCAAAGCTATGATGGATAGATTCTCCACGATTGTCAATAGTCTCAAATCATATGGAGAAATCATTCCAAATGACAAGCTTGTAAGGAAGTTAGTTTATTCTCTTCTAAAAGCTTGGCAATCAAAGAAGACGGTGATCATCGAGGCTAAGAACTTAAAATCCTTGACCCTCGATGAACTTATTGGCTCTCTCCTCACGCATGAAATGATGCTTAAAGTAGAAGAAGACCTTGAGAAAATAGACGAGCCAAAGAAGGAGACGGGGAAGAAGAAGAACGTGGGAGTTGCTCTCAAATCAACAAAAGATGAGAGTAATTCGGATGAAGATGACGATGACGAGGAAATGGCATTGTTTGCCAAACGGTTAAGAAAAATGATGAGGCCTAACCGAGGAAGAAAATTCAAATGAAATAAAGGCTTCAAAAATGAACCAAAAGAGAATGACTCGATCATTTGCTATGAATGCAAAAAACTGGGGCATGCCAAATATGACTGCCCACAATTGAAGAAAAATGGTCAATCAAAGAATAAGCACAAGGCTTACGTGGCTACATGGAGCGATGAAGAAGGTTCCGATGAAGAGGAACAAGAAGTGGCAAACTTGTGCTTAATGGCATTCGGGGAAGATTCTAAGATAACCTCTAACTCATTTGATTTAGATGATTTATCTTATGATGAGTTATTAGAGGATTATAATGGGTTGGCTTCGAATTATGAGAAATTATTTTTAAAATATAAAAATGATATTTTGAAATTGAAAAATGAAAATAATCTCATATCCAAGACCAACAATGATCTTGAAAGTAAATTCAAAGATTTGCAAATCAAACTAGAAGAGTTTGAAAAGAAAAATTCAGATTTGCATAATTTACTTTCAAAGGTCAATGGTGATCATTAAAAGAAAATTGATGATCTTAAAGCTTCTTTCGATAAAGTTGGAACAAAACATTTTGAAACCGGAGAAAAATCAAAATCCAACTTTGTAAGAAAAAGTTTTAAAAAATACAATCATAGAGGTCCCCGAAGAACCTATAATGGAAAAAAACGTTGGAAGTATATGGGTTCCTAAAGAACTCATTACTACTAAAGATAAGGATATCCTACACAAATGGATACCTAAGGGGACTAGAATTTTGGAGACTAATGAGTATGGACCCAAAATAATTTGGGTACCAAAAATAAAAAATTAATCTATGTTTGTAGGGAAAGCAGCATTGCTATAAGGCACGGGAAACAAATTCAAATTCATTGTACCTTGATAGTGGATGCTCAAGACACATGACCGGAGACAAAAGCCGGTTCATAGAGCTCATCACCAAAAATGGAGGAGAGGTGACTTTTGGCGATAAATCAAAAGGACACATTGAAGGTATAGACACTATAGGTAATACCTCTTCCATACAAATTAAGAATGTTTTATATGTGAATGGATTAAAGCATAATCTATTGAGTATTAGTCAATTTTGTGATAAAGGATTCAATGTCATGTTTGAAACTACTGGTTGTA